GTTTGAAATAGGAGAGACTTGCTTAGAAAGATGTGGAGAACCTGGATTGATGTCTGGTCCCTCTCAGTCCCCGAGAACGAACAGTTCCGAAGAAGTGGGCTGTAGTCCACGAAAGCTTATGCTCTAATAAATTTGTTAGTCTCTAAGGTGCCACAAGTCCTCCTGTTCTTCTTTTTGTCAGTTAAGTGTTTCTTGATTGGGCACTTACTGAGAATAGTTCTTTCTCAAGAAGCTGACCAAATGCTTCACTGAGGCTATTTAGAATCAAACACATTGAAATACAAGTACATAGCCAATATTCATAACTTCAACTACAAAAATGGTACATACATATGTTACACTAATAAAATAATACCAACACGATCTTATAAGAGGGATGAGGCAAAAATGCCAGGTTTATTGTAAATATAGAGAAAGAGCGAGAAATCAGGATATGCAATTCAATATTATTTCACTACCATTCCTTATTCATTCACACACTCATTCATACAAGTTCTGCAGAGTTGTTATAATTACCAGCCTAGAGGTTGCTCATGGCAGAGCACTGGCCAGGTAGCTGCACATGAGGGTGGAGCCAAGTCCTTGTCAGATGTGCATCCGATGCTCCTGGAGGGTGATTGCAGAACCAGACTCAAAAGTTTTCAGTCTTATAGAGTCTGTTCTTATAGGATTTTGTCCTTATACAAGTCTGTGGGAATTGCTTCATCCTGCTGATGTTTGTTTGAGGTGGTTATCAATTAGCAGGTGGCATATCCCTGATGGCTGAATGTCTGAGTGTTATCTTGTTCTTCCGGAGTCTTCAGTCCTCCATCCGGGGGGGCGGGGGAGAGGGGGTAACGCTTGGGTGGATTCCGGCCTGCCCTCCGGGGGTCATCCAGTTATCTCTAGTCTGCGCATTCTTCAGCCAATTGAGACTGAAGTTGTAATTCTTAGGCTGGCACTTCCCTGACCATTCATTCTTTATCTAAATCAAGTTATCCTTTATCTAAATCAAGCATCCATTCACATACATCCTCTATTTTAACATACATTTATCACTTATTACTTTACTATTTCTTAACTTCTAGCAACTCTCAGGATGTTGCAAATCTACTTAAACTTTAACATACATAACAGACAAGTTAAAAGATACCTAGAGTCTGTGTTCTGTTTAGAAGAACAATTACAGTTGTTTCTGAGAACAGACTTTTTGTCTCAGGATGTGTTAACACAATTAGCAGTTTGACCTTGCATGTTTCTCACAGAGAAGGAGAGACACAGAAATGGAAAAGCAAGAGGCCTAAGCTGTGGGGAATTCAACTGAATTCAATCTTACCCCTTGTCTCTCTTGGCCTCAGACTTGTTATACACATACACTTTATGGTTTTAATACAGAAATTCCCTGATATGGTCCGACACATATAGATAGCATAATTATAACCAGCAAATCAGAACCTCTTCTATAGACACCTCACAAGACAACCTTTGTACAATATTTGCTGCAGATATATAACAGTGGTTGCAACAATGATCTATGCGGTCACAGTTTGTCAGTAACTTCACAGCCACTTATACATACATTCAGGTATGCATATAGAGCACAGTTCCTTATTCTACAGAGCGATGCTTACAACTTCCCCATTATGTGTTGGTACTCAGTGTCTCAACTTTGAGCAGCATTTTGAAACACAAAATCTGACTGAAAAGTTAGATTTTAATTCACTGAGGCTACGTCCTCACTATGGGGGGGGTGTCGATTTAAGATACGCAAATTCAGCTACGCGAATGGTGTAGCTGAATTCTACATATCGGAGCCGACTTACCCCACTGTGAGGACAGTGGCAAATCGACTTCCGCGGCTCCCCCGTCGATGGCGCTTACTCCTACCTCCGCTGGTGGAGTAGAAGCGTCGATTCGGGGATCGATTGTCGCGTCCCGACGAGACGCGATAATTCAGTCCCCGAGAGATCGATTTCTACCCGCTGATTCAGGCGGGTAGTGTAGATCTGCCCTCAGTAACAGATCTTTTCTTCCTAAAACATAATTTTGGGGGTTCAATTTTTATAACGTGCTCTATCTGCCTCACGCGTCTCATCCTCTGTTAATGGAGGCTGGATAGCTGATCCTGCCAAGTTTCCCAATAAATGTTAATAATTAGATTGTCTTCATTCATTTTGGTGACTGCGTCTCTTTAATTTGTTGCTTTCTATAGGATTAGTTTAGTTCAGTCAGGATGCTCCCCAGTGAAGTGTCCCTTTTACCTTTTCTCACTCATTTAGAGCAGCACTAGGTAGAGATATGCCCCCCAAGCTGCAGTGTGTCTTGTCTGCTTATTTTTTACCTGGCAAGTAATATATGACCTATTTCACCTGCAGACTGAGTGGAATGTCCCTGCCACATAGTCACTCTCTGACTTCCGTTTCTTCTAAACTGCCAGGAAGTTAGT